ACACACACACACACAGATTGATTTACACAAAGCACCTTTAAGGAAAGAAGACACAATAACAAAGACCCCTCTGTTGAACACATGCCTGACTCATTCTCATTCACCCAAAGATTCCATGTAAGTTTTTACAAAAGAAAAAAACTTTTTCAGGGATTTTGAGAACTTTTGTTTGTTTGTTTGGTCTGAAATGGGTTGAGTGTGAGGGGTGTTATCTAACCACCCTCTCAGATGCATCTTAAACCACATCTGTGTCTGAAGATTGCTGTTGAAATGTGAGTCATCTGCAAGACAGGTGAGCAGATCAACAAAAGAAAACTTTGAAATTAATTGCAAAAGCTATTTCCAGACTCATCATTGTCCAAACCTTGTGAAAAAAGTGTGCTGGGGGAAGATGTGTCCTTGTATTTTCTGCTCTTTTTTTTTTTACTGCTTATAGACAACAATCATTATTTTACCTTAACCAAACCTTTCATTTAATTTACTTTGCTGTTTTTGGAAGACTTCATCATCATCAAAGTTACTGTAGGTCGTTTATTGGGATGACTCAGAGTTGTTGAGTCTCGCAAACTTTTAACCCCATGACACACAGACACGTTTTTGGACCAGGGTCAAGTTTCCTCGTGTGATACAGAGAAGAACAGCATCCCTCTTTAAACACTAACACATACACATAAATGTGTACACGAAAGCTGGTATGCTTACAAACATATGTAACCTAATCCAAGTATCACAATATTAAAGTAACTTTTGGATTACCTCAAAAACAAATATGCAAATAAAAACGTATCAATGCAAGTGTATTCTTTAACAAAACAGAACAATGTAACCTTAAAAAAGAAAATAGAAACGGAAAAAGTTTGTCCTCAACTCAGTGTATTTTTAAAGAAATCCAGATTTTTACTCAATGTAACTGTAGTCTGATTATGTCTTTTTATATGTAACTTTAATGGATTACAGTTACATTTTTTCTGTATCCATGTGATCCGTTACTTCCCAAGCCTGCATACGAGACCCAAACGTCTGTTCTGTTGTTTAATGCCCTAAGGCTGATGCTCACATTTTAATTACCAGCCTGATGTTGCAGTGCACAAACTGACAAACAGCTGACATGAACAATTTATAATTTCCGATGGTGTTAAAAGGATTATTTATAGTTTTCAAACTATTCTTGCTCCCAATTCTCAGTTCCATCGTTTTAAGTCTGCTAAGAAGTCTGCACATGAATGGCTGCTTCATGCTCAGCTCTTTGAACAGATTTGCTGCTTACTGACATTTTCCATGTCCATCAGGTCATACTGTGGGATTTGTAGCAGGTCACTAACCTTGAGAACGACCTCAGATTCAGAGTCTATTGACAGTGACCATACTGGAATGAGTTCTTCCTTAATAGCTCAGGCTAATGAGCAATACCTGTTTTAATCATTTAGCATGACATAAATCTTCTTGAGAGATAATTGAAGTCAGTGTTTGAATCTATCACATCTGCTGGACCTCTCAGAGAAGATGAGAGTTGAACTGCAGCCATCAGGAAAGATGTTTAAAATGAATCACTCCCTAATTTAAGGGCCCAAAGTACTCAAATGAAGAATTAGTTTATTCTTATTTTATTCAACAAAATTGAAAAGAACATTGGACGTTGTCTGTCAGTAAAATCATTAGGAAACAAAATTACACCTCACCGTAAGCACACTGATGAGCCAGCGTACGATATTTGAGGCAGACTGACAGAGAGCGACCAGTTACAGAACAAGAAGGACTGGTTTTAATGTTACTGTGTGTTTATGTTACACAGCAGACTGTAAACTGCATGTGTTTATTTAATCATCTTATATATATTTAATTTTAGCTGCCAAAACCACCCAAAAAGTTAATCAAAAAAACTAATTCTACTCAGGGCTACAAACATCAATTTGCTTTTCATAGCAGTTTGATTCGATTTATACTGTTAATTCCCAGCCAGCGATCTTTGTCATAGTTTATACCCCTCCCTCTCTCTCCACTGTTTCCTGTCTACTTCTTCACTTTTCCTTTCCAATAAAGGCAAAAAAAATATGTGGATTGGCTCGATCAAATATTGATATATGTGATCAATATTGTGTTTGTGATTAAATCAACATATATTTCTGCCACCCCTTAAAGTCTCTATGAATATTTCTCTAGATCTGCCCCTCCACAGGAAGTTATAGATGCTGCATTGAATATCGATTACACAAAACCAGTACAGGGTTGTACTGAGCAACACAGAGGAAAGAAACAGTGGCAAAAACCTTTCAGCTTGTACAAAAAGTATCAGTAAAAAGAACACAAACACTCTTGTATTACTCTCTTTATATAAACAGTTGGAAGGGAATGGTTCTTACTGTCCAGGTTGATATGGTGAGGTTCACTCCAGTCACTCCACAGTGGAGGCTTGTCCAGGCTGGAGCAGCGAACCTGGATGATGTAGTTCAGTTCGGGCTTCAGATCCAGAGATAACCGGGGCTCTGCAAGTGCAGACACCACCTGGAGACAACAGAGAGGGAATCAAAAAACACAGAACAGATAAACTGGATAGGATAGTTGGGCGATATTGAATCGAATTCCTCATAAGTGTGGTTGAAGATTGGTGTCTCATCATCCGTAACAGTTACAAAAGCACACACAACCAGAGCTGGATGGTGTGCGTGGGCACTTGTAACTTCTGGCAGTGTCCCATGAAAGCCATTTTTCATGTGTCAAATTAAAAAGCCGACTCTATGGACACACAAGGATAGTAACGGCAAAGTAGGAGATCAGTTTGTTGGTATCTATAATTTTATAAAATAGAGTTTTTCCACATCCGAAACGATGGTCTAAGAATAAAGGGTCGTGTACGGATTGTAAAGTCCTCAACTTTAACACCCAAAGTCATGGAAAAGATAAGAGAAGAGAATCACTTAAACCATATTTCATTCATCCATCTATAGTAGGTCAACAGCACTGGATGAATCATGGAGCTTCTGATCCACTGCTTAACACTGAGTGCACTGTTGAATGCTAAATACACTATATGAGGCTATTAAAGACTGACTGTGAGCAAGTTGCACTAAATAAACACAAAGTCGTGTCAGTGGAAATGTGTGCTGTGTGTGTGTGACTCATTCCAGGCATGACTTACATCAGTTTAGTAAGTATAACAAACCTACTATATGTTTCAGCACGAAACTATGTTTTCAGTTCCTCCATTTCAAGCATAATTTGCACCTGGTGTCAAGGTTTTTGTTGAAATCTGCACCTAACAATTCCTGTTTGAAACCAAATAAACTGAGGTTTCTGTTTTGTTAAAAATAGATTGGGACATTTTCTTTTAACACTTTCTAATAAGGCACCCTTTATTAAAGCTGCAGTAGATGTTTTGTTATATTTATTGGAACTTGGAAGTGGAAAGTTACCTACTGCAGATTTAAGGGTTCATGCATTTTAACTACTGGCTACAAATACTTAGAGATTAATTACAAGACATTATTAAGAACAAACTTTGGGTTGATAAGTCCCTCTGAGTAATTTTGACCACTCATTTGGACCAAAATTCCATTTATTAATAGCTTACAGCTGCAGATGAGATGGCATTTTTTATGCATTATCAAACATTATATAACTCATTACCAGATAGGTAGATACCAGCCAAATGCATTTTTTACAAGCTGCAGACACAAATGTTCTTCTTATTAATAGCTTATAACATCTTTATGAAGCCATTAATTACAGTTCACAAACCACTCTTACGAGATATCACTTGTATTTCACCATCGCTTCGTGTTACCTGCCAGGCTGGATGAGGGATGTTGGAAGAGTATTGGACCTCGTATCTCAGCGGGCCAGTATCAACGTCGGATGGGTCGTCCCAGTGTAAAATCAGTTCTGCCTCGATGGTCTGGATATGTGACAGGTTGACTGGAGGGTTTGGTTTCACTGTAGAAAAAGACAGATCCATCTTAGACATCCCCTCAGGAAATCAAATGGCGAAAAGCAAAATATATACTTATTAAGGATCTTAACAATCCTATGGTTGCAGCCACAACCCCCAAATACAAAACAACTGCAACAAAAGGTGAACAAGTTGTTTGTTATGGAACAGCAAAAACACAGCTAAGAATGGTCACCATGGATATTGGCTATGTCAAAAAAAAGAGCTAAAACATAAAATTGCTATGTCTGCATTGTTGTTTTTTTCTCTTTTTTGTTAGTTAGTTGTTTCAATTATTATTCTGTTGTTTGTTTAGTACTCTCCATAGGTCTGTTGTTGGTTTTTGTTTCTTTTCCACATATCTGTTCCATGAAATTTACATATAAGTCATATAAGAAAATGCAGAGATGATTATTTACTAATTAGTGGAATAAATGAATTGTATGCAACAAATACGAAGTTAAAAAAAAGTAGAAAAAAAAATAAGAACAGATAATGTCAAAAACAGAAGCACATGTATGCAGTTACAATAGCTGTGTTTGCATCTGTAAGGGATTTAAAGATCCACTGTGCAGCCACAAGGTCACTTAATATTCCCCTTTACTGTATATGTAAAGTATTTATAGCCGGGGTAGTTATTTGCTGTCTTAAAGAAAATATATCACAACAGCACTGCATATCTAAAGCTGGCATTTGCTGTAATTACTCTTTATTCAGACAACAAAGATCAATACTCCTCTAGTCCATATGCCAGGATTATCAATATTAAATAAATGAATTAATCACATCTTGAGTTCAGAGTTAATGAAAAATATAAACATAAAACATAATATAAAAGGACAATTCACTTCATCTTTGTAAATGTCCAGGAGTAGATTTTGAATTAAAGCATGTAGCTAGGGATTTTTAATATCATCTGTGCTGTACATTGAGCTTAATATTTATGACTGAATGACCATTTCAGGTGGATTTTTAGAGGCTTGAAGTAAGATGAGGCGTAGCAGCCCAGAAAACAATGTCCCAGTTTATCATTTAATTGTTATGACGAATAGCAAAAGAGATAATTGAATCTCAAAAAACCACAAAGATGCCTACTGGGAGAAAAGAGATTACTCAACATTATGAGTAAGAGCTCAGTGATTTCTTTTCCAGACTAGACTCACATCAGGGGAAAGAAGGGTTTTTAATTCCCTTCTGGTGGGTTGATTTAAACATGTAACTTGAGGAGAAGCACTGATTACTTTCTTAATATAATAACAAATCACACACATCCAACTGAACAGTACTCCAGAGTGCAGAGTGTAGTGAGGCTGAGAAAATTTAGCTGATTAGTTTACAGGAAAATAATCACTGCCACAGAACCAACACAATACCTAAAACGTGCAGATAATGCTCTGTCATGGTAATCTTCATGGGATGACCAGAAAAACTGCATCATCATAATTGCTGCTAAATCTTGGTTTCACTTAATACAGCCCTCTTTCTGTGGCAGACAGTACCGTGTTCAGTGATTGCTATTTCCTTGGTCACAGAGCAAATGAGAAATGCTAACAGCTAGAACAAATTCCCAAAACTGTAAACAAAGAGCTTGTTAACACCTGGTATTAACACGAGTATTGGCTTAAATATATTGGCTCAAGGTGTAGACCACAGTTAAGTCACTATTGCCATGGAAACATCATACCTCCTGCTTGTGTCTCCTAAAGCAAGACAAGAAGTGTAGCTCCACAACTCAAAGCATGTTTATCAAAAACTGAGGAAAAAGAAAAAAACAAATCCATTAACATTTGTGCTATTACATATATAGAATAGCACAAATGTGCGAGGATATTGTGATTGTCACTATTGTATCCCTGTACCCCTTCATATACAGATATTCACTGTGTGTTAAAAGCAAACAACTCAAAATATTTTAAATTCCACAAAAAAGTTTTCCTAGTTAGTAAAGTACAAATCACATGCAAACTGATGGCTGAATGAGTGTTCAGCTGTGTCCTTATACTCCAAAGGTTGGAGAAAAAAGTGGAAATTTAGATTCAAGAGTAGAAAGAGAATTAAGGCTTTACTAATGACACTGTATCCTATTCAGGAGGTGACCAAAATGTCAAATCTGGACAACATACAGTTACTACTCAGTTTCTTTTCTGCTCTGTCAGTTTAACAAAATGGTTTGGTTGAACAAACACAGCATGGAATGTCCTTGTCTCTGACTGTGGAGATCTCACAGCGTGGATGTGGTTGCACACACACACACACCACACACACACACACACACAAAAACACACCACACACGACACACACACACACACACACACACACACACACACACACACACACACAGCTATTCTGGTCACGTCTGCCGATCACAACTGAATAAAACTCTTTCTCCTTATCCATCCAGTTTCATCACTTTGAAGCAGGACGTTGGAAAATGTACGTGTTTTAAACACTGAGGAGCGCTGTATCATCTTCAAACATGGCTGAAGTTATTCTTAGGGCTCTAATGCCAGCAATTGAGTGTCTTTCAAAAGAAAGTAGATGTCGGGAACTTGTTTTTATGATGACTTACTGTAATACACTTAAAACAGTGTACTAAGCAAGTAACAGATAAATGAAGTCATACTTAACACTTAAATACCAGAATGTGTGTTTACATTTAAAAGCTTAATTTACTTATAAGACATACTTAGTAAAGAGTTTATGATTTGTACATTTAATTCATGTTTCATAAATAATTGTACAACTTATATATAAAGTCCTAATATAAAATATGCCTTAGTATAAAGTAGATTTCTCTGTAAATCAGTTACAGGCATACAGTTCAGCTCTACAGCTGCTCGAGGTGCAATAACTTGGGTGGACTGACAACTAAGATGTTCTAAACATTTTAAAAGATAATTATTTTATGGTAGGTTAGTGTTAGGTTTTTGTTTCCCTCACCAATCTGTACTTCAGCCAGTAATTCCAATGCCAATCCCTCACAGCCTCTCTCTTTTCCATTAAGTTAAACAGCAAGAATCACACACTATTCCTTAGGGGCTGCATTACATTATGAACAGCAAAGGCCCGGGAGAGAAAACTGGTATTTCCTCCAACAAGTGATTCTTCCACTAACTCTGCCAGTTCTCAAACTTTTTCTTGCTTGCCCTCCTTTAGAACAATTTTTAGCAATCATTAAGAAATTATAGTGAAATCCACAGCCTACTAAAAAGATCCAAGTTGAATTTTAGTGAAATAAAGGTCAGCACAATAGTGTCAACACTCTTGCTTGTTTATTTTCCCAACAACCACTCCTACTATTTTTAACCTGGTTTTCCACGCCCCAACTGCAGTTGCCTTATCTATCTTGATCTACTCTAGTGCTCAAACTGGATCAAAATCGAATGTAGAAAGAAACCCTTTGCTCTTTGATTCTGTGGGACTGGGAAGTTTATTTGTTGTTTTAACCTAAGTGGATCCAGTAGCTAGGAATCCATTTTTTATTTTAAAATATGGGAAATTAAACTGTGTAACTAACATAAAGTAAAGATTGAGACAAAAAATTTGTCTTACCAGGTCGGGCAGGAATTCTGAGGAGAACTGGCGGAGCCACGGCGTTGGAGATGCTGACGGTTACCACAGTGACAAAGCTTGTTGTAGCATTGAGAGCAACTGAGCACATAAAGGAATCCTTTGCTTCACAGACGACAGGATTATCGGATGCAGTCTTCCCGTCGTTCACCATAGTGTCCTCTTTCTGGGACCTGGGAAAAACTTTAGTCACTCTGTGTTCTCAGTTGACGTACAAAGCAAGATATAAAATCTCAATTTTAAACATATAATCAAAATTTAGCTAAGTCACATTCATCTCTCCGTTTGACCATGTTTGATTGACTTCAGACTTAGTAACCATTATGCTGATTTCAAGTACATTTGATAGCTGTTATGGAGCTTTTAATCATGTGACATTATCTTAGCATTGACAAGAAGTCTTTAAAGTCTTCTGAAAATAATGGAAATACCATGACAACTTGACAAGTTCACCTGCTGATGAAGATTGTGTGACATGATTGAAAGCTCCAGAACAGCTTATAAATGGACCTTGAGGTGAATCCATTTGGTCAAATTTGAAAAAAACAAAAGAACATTTTGGAACAGTACACAACAGCTATACAATGTCTGGCATCTCTTATCAAGTGTGTGTTAGGTCAGTGGTGAATTGGTCTCTTTATTCCTGCCACAATAAAAGCCTGGAGCCAGCGTGATATCACACAGCTTCCACTCTGCTGATCAAAGTAAACACACATATTAGCCCCCTATTGAGCAGTCGGGAAAGGTTTGGATCAGACACACACACACACACA